TCAGATGTCCTCTCTGTCTGACAGGGTGTCACCCATCCTGTGGCTTCTGCTGTTGGATGAATAGGGTGGACTTCCCATTGGTGTGACATAAAGGGAGCTTTCTGAGTGTGGCAAAATACTTTGAGGTCTTAGAGCCAGCTTAAGAGCATCAAGGGAGTCCTTAGCATGGTCTCTAATTCCAGCCTCTCTTGGGGCAGTGGAAGGATCAGAGGATGAGGACTCATTAAAGAAACCCTTGGGAAGGTCCTCATTCTCATGATTTGGGATGAGGGGCAGGATTCATGGGTTTTAGAAATCTGCAAGACAATGGTTGCTGTCTTGGCTGTCTGATTGTTAGGGTTGAGGGGGATATCTGTGCTCCATCTCTTCTTAAATATTTTTCTGATGTGAGCTGCTAGATCTGGCTTTAGATATGGTTCCTGCCTCAGGCTGGAAGGAGGGTCAGAGAGTATGGGGAATGTCATGAAGAGGTAGGTTGGAAGTTATGTTTCATAGGATTCATCAGATATTCTGAAATTCCTGATAGTGTCTAACTGCTCAGCAGTAATTGATTGACATCCTCAGCACAGCTGAATGATCACCAATAATCCTAACAATATTCTGATAATGGAGATGAGGAGTTCAAAGAACTCATGATCAAAGTTTGGGGATTTAGGGTTGATAGATGGCATTCAGTTTCCTCCACACTATAGTGCATGAGAAAGGAGAAGTAGAAGCTTCAAGTTAATTGTTAGACCTAAGCTGCACATGATCATAGACACATGATAAACTGACATCACTTTGTGTTTGAGTGTTCCATCAGAGTTCACTTGATGTGACTATTGATCAATATGCATCAAGGCCTTAGGATTGGCTCAAGAGTGGAATGGTGTGATAATAAACTTTAGCTCAAAGCTGGAGCTTAACTAGCAAGAGAAAGCCTACTTATATACTGTACAGTGTCATACTAAATATACTCCTACTTATTATGCATTGTTGAGTCTTTTGTGCCTATTGTCTTTGGATGTTGCTACTGTCTATAAAAGCTCAGTTATGCATTGTCAGATGCTATTGTGCATCAAAAGACAATGACCAATCCAGCTTATTGTGATGACTAAACTGGTCCCATGGTCCTAAGCACTGAGGTTGGCACTAAGGATAGATAGAGGTTTAATCATGTAAAAGAAAAAGAAAAATGAGTAAAAATCATAACATTAAGAAAGAGTGCTGCAACTCTTCCCTCCAGGAATCATCAGAGACTGTGATCAAACACATGAGCATTTCTGGGGACTCAAAGCCTGTAGGCATTAAGTATGGATTTGGCATAGGAGAAAATTGTATCAGTGTCAGCAATGCTGTCAGTTCAGAGATGAGAGGGATACATGGTGTATTAGATGATCTTATTGGTGGTGACAGCCTCAGCTGATTCTGCCCAAAGATCAGTTTCACTTCTGGCCAGAGTGCTGGACTCTCTGAATGGAGATCCCAAGGTTCCTTGGCTGTACCATACTGGGGAGCTGGATCTCCAGATAGTAGCCTCTTGGCAGTGTTGCTCTCATCACTACTGTTCATTATATTGTTCTTCTTTGTACTAAGCAAAAGCTTGGTTGGCTGCTTCTGATACAGTGGTAGTAGAGTTGTTATCTGTCTGTCTAGTTGTATAATTATTCTGAGGGCCTCCTCCATGGTTGAGATAGGCATGAAGCCTTCTGCTTTCATTGATTCCAGCTGTAAGTGTTTCTCTCTATGGCTCATGCAGCTCTTCATTGTTTGACCAGAGATCAGTAGCTTCATAACTACTATAGTTGGTGTGGACCAATGAGGCAGGACTTCTAGCTGGTGTAGTATAGAGAGAGTCATGATCTGAGTTTATTGAAACACTTTATGGTCTTGAAGCCACCTAAGAGGCATCAAGAGAGTTCTGAGCATGGTCTTTAATCCCAGGCTCTCTTGGGGCAGTGAAAGAATCAGGAGACAGCTTATCATCAAAGAAGTTGTCAGGGAAATCCTTGTCCTCATGGTCCAGGACAAGAGGGAACCCCAGTGGGACCTATGGGTTTCTGAAGTCTGTGAGTCAACTGTTCTAGTTTTTGCTTTCAGGTCTGACTGATCTAGAGGGATATCAGTATCCTTCTTCTTCTTCTTCTTCTTCTTAAGTGCTCTTTGAATTCATTCTCTTAGACTTAGTTTGGAGTATGGGTCCAAGCAGAGGCTGGAAGGAGACTTGGATAGAGAGAGAGATGTCATAGAAGGGGAGGTCAGGTGTGATATTGCACAAAATTTGTTGTACCTGTTGAAAAGCCTGGTAGTGCCTGACTACCCATGCTGCTACTGATTATCATCTTCAACAAAGCTGTATAATTGCCAATAAGCCTAGAAGTGTTCTGATGATAGAAGCTAAAAGCTTAAAAAAGTCATTGGTGAGATTAGGGGTTGTAGTGAATGCTGGTGGCATTCAGTTTTCTTTGTGCTTATTGTGTGTAAGGAAAGAGAAGCAGAAGCTTCAAGCTAATTGTTAGACTCAAGTTGCATATGATCAGAGCATATGATAAACTAGCACTGTATCATATTTATACAGTCATGCTAGAGTCCACTTGTTGTGTCTTGTTGACCAACATACTTTAAGGCCTTTGCAAGAAAGCTTGAGAGTGAAGTGATATAAATAAACTTTAGCTTAAAGCTGGAGTTATACAGCAAGAGCTATCCTACTTATATACTACTCATCCATCAAGATAAATATACTACTACTTATTGTGTCTGTCTAAGTCATTGTGCTCATTGTCTTTGACTGTCATTACTGTCTACAAAAGAGCTATTATGCATTATCAAGTGTCATTGTCACATCAAAAAATAATAACAGACTCAGCTTGTTATAATAACTAAGCCAGTCCCACAGTCCTAAGCATTGATATAGATACTCTGACTAAGCATAAATAAGAGTTAATCAAATGAGAAAATAGAAAAATTATAATAATTTGATCTATCAAATTGATAGTTTGGTTTTCTTCATAGATCAAAAGAAAAGGAATATCACACCAACTAATTGATGCAAAGCACTCATTCTTGCCTCTATTGGTTGAACCATAGTGTCTTAGACTTCTTGCTATCATTGCTGATTCATCTTACTGTCATTCTTTGATACAACCTATGTCTTTCCTTTCTACAGTGATTTCATATGAAAATCAATATCTATTCTTTCATCTGGATATTATCACAACCTCAAATACAAAGAATAAGATAAAGTCATATCTAGTGTCATGGCTTCACTTGTGAACACCACTATATATCTGTCTGACTGTAATTGAGTATGTTTCAGCCAATCTGTATTATTAGAAATGGTAAACAGTATTTGCATTGGATTTTCTTTATTCAGCTGGTGAAATAGATAGCCAGCCAGCCAGCCCAGATAATGACATACATGTAGTATTTTGGTGAGAGAAGACATATGAGTCACTCATATTGAAGGAATGGCAGGAAATATGCTGAGAGCTTGGTGAAGTGAATTTTCATTTCAAGTTTAGAATATTGCATCATCAAGCAACTCTTTTTTTATGTACTCAAGATGTTAGCTGGTGTTTTCCTGATGATCACCATTTGCCTAGTCAGATTGATGTTAGATGTGCCAATTAGTGTTGCATATCATCTGTAGTTGGAGTGTGCATAATATATTTTTACTATGAAGTGATATGGATATGAAACAGTGTACATCCAGCTCTGCTTGACAAATTTCAGTCTATAAGTTGGACTGAAGATGAGTTTTTAGAGCTGAAGAAAGCAATTGCTGCATACTGTGCAGATTCTTTTTACTTGTATTTTGGCTATACACCTGTGCTGCTATGTCAATTGTCATACTACACATCAGAGAACTATGTCTTGGAAGCTCATACTCACATGTCAACTAGTCACTTGGGTGTTTATATAGATATTGAGGAGTTGATTTGAATTCATAAATTATATATATTTATTTTATTTGTATATACAATATATATTATATATAAATATCATCTTGCTATTATATGTAGTTAAAAAAGAGTATTATTTAAGTATGAAATCTATAAGTATAATGGTGAGTACTTGTAGATGCTATAAACTTTATTATATAAGAATATAGTACAAATAATTAATCCTTTTTCAGTGAAGCAAAGTTGTGATATTTAAAAAAACCTGCTAATTTTTTCATTCTGAGAAAGATATCCACATCAATAGTGTCTACAACAAAGTGATCCTGACTATTGCTCAGATCTAAGTTGTTGTCTTTAACTAATAGAACTCCACAGATGATAGAGTAGATAGAAACAAATTGTGAATAGATTCAAAGATGTGCACAAAGATGATAAAATTCTTTATCTTTATCTCTTTGCAATTTTCAGTGTTGTCTACTATCAGTAACTGTAATATCAAAAGAATGAACTAATGCCAATGAGTATTGCTGTTCAGAATATTCACATTCAAATAGTTGAATCAGCTGTCTAATTCATACTCTATCATAACATAGATAATTGTAAAAATTTAGACTACAGCATAATAGATCAATAGACTCTTTAAGATTAACTAGTGACTGATAAGTAACAGTCAAAGTCTGGTAAATTTAAATCTATACTTATTTGTTAATAGACATTTAGTTTTTAAAAAAAATAAAAGGAAGCATATACTGTATCACTAGTCTGATACTGAATAAATTTTCCTTAAGCTACAGCACTTTCATCTATCCTATTTAAAAATCCAGTCATAAATCTTCTAAGTTGAATTTGAAAGCATTTATAAGCTGGATCTGAATGAAAGGCCTTTTCAAGCTTGTCTACAGTATGTGGATCCTTTGAACTAGTCTGGAGACTATAAAGCATGGCTTTACAGTCAAGAGATTTAATTTCTTGATCTTAAAGAGTATAATATTTATCTTCAGATAGATCAGTAATATTTTGCTGTTGATATTTTTTCTGACAATCAATCTTTTGTTATAACTGCATAGCAATTTTATACTAATGATTAGTGATAAGAATCTTGATGATAATTTCAGAATATTATTTTATTAATTTTATTAAAAACTGTATCTGTTCAGTAATATTTTTAAAATTTGTCTGAGTCTGATATGCTTCTTTTAGTGGGTCATGCCTACTTTCATTGACTTTGGTATTATAATTCTTTGTAACACCTTTAGCAATAATATCATCAAACAGATATTGCTGTGCATGCACTTTTGATAGTTTTCAACTTATTGAAGTTTTAAAACCTTTATGATCTGTTGCTTGTGAATAAGTCTGCTTTAATATTAGTATAATATAAATATACTAGATTTGTCATCTTACTTTCAATCTGACATTCAAAACTTCTAATTTTTGTCTTTCTTCTTTAATACTTTTTTTTATATGAATATTTATTAATGCATATATATCTAACTCAAAGTAACTTTGAATAACTTTGAGAAGCAGATATGTATCAGGATTAGCTGCTTTTGATAGCACAGAATAAATAGCAAAGAGAAGTTGCTGCTTGAAAGTTAAATATTATAATAGAATATTAGACTGAAACTTGCCTTTGACATATGCTTATATTTAACAGCATCTCCAAATTCAAATATAGTGACATTTGAAAAATGCTTAAAATTTTACTATCTTAGAAAGTTGTTAATATTATAAATTCATTAAGTTTATTCTTTTAAAATATAAATCAATATACAATTTATCTATAATGACTTTAACTGCATGTCCACTAACTCCTAATATTTTCTCTACATGCTCTAATAGACATATAAGAAGATGCATGAAGACACCAAGGTAATATGCATGTAGCCAATCTCAGAAAACAGCTTAATATGGATCACTTTGAGCAACATTCTAAAATACATTCTAGAATAATTCAAAATACAGAAAAGTCTCAAACAGAGAATACTTACTTCAACATATCACAGACTGTATAATAACAAAATATTCTCTCCCTCTTCCTCTACATGATTATAAATATCTTGCATTTCTTCAGTTGTTTAAAGAGAATATATATTTAAAAGATTCTGTAACTCTTTCTTTCAAACTAAGCATACAGGACAAGGATGGTCAGAATTAACACTATATGTCAATGTCATCATACAACTGTATAAAATTATCATATTTAAGAAATTTAAAATAATGTTGTACTTACTGTTCTTTATAATCTGTTGTTCATTATCATAAAATAATATTTCTCTTTGTTTTAGGTTTTTTCACTATCTAACACAAGTCTCTTTAGTGTAAAAATATCTACATTAGTTGTTCTACTTCTAAGCCACATTGTAAGCTGTCTTATATAAGCTGCCCAAACCTAATTTGATTCACTGGCTCATATTTGCTGGAAATTTAGTTGGAGGTCACTTTTTTGGACAATATGAGTGTCTTATTATATTATTATTAATAATCTATCCTTATAAAGTATTTCACAACTTTCTGACATGGACCATAGTTCTTACTGACATGCCAATCACTTGGGTTCTCATTCCTGAACCTGAAAATCTCATGCACTGAACAGAGAGGTCTGCTAGCACTTCAGTCTCTGCTAGATACTGAGATGTCATGCTCAATGGAATTATGCCATCATCAGATAATTTCTTACTTGTTATATCTTACTATGGTGAGTATTGTGTAGCTAACTTGATAGAAAAGCAATAAATATATTTGCTTTTCTATCTGGTACAGCTGCTCAGCATATCAACATGATTACTTCACTCAGACTTGTATCAATACTGTTGTAAGTAGAGAGCAGAGTAATGTACAGAGGATTAGAATTAGCCTCTCAAGAGAGAGACATTCTACTTAAATACATTTTATATTACTTTGGGATCTTTCTATGAAATACTAAATAAGTCTGGATCATGATCTAAGTCAGCTGCTGCTGATTGGTATTGTATCTTTGAGTACATTCTTGTACTCACTCAGGATTGCTATTCCAACACTCCTCCTCAATTTCAAGTTCTTAGAATACCTGCAGATGGATACTCATGTAATGGTCTCAGTAGGCTTTTAGTGAATATATCTGCTAAATTCTCCTCTGATGTGCAGTGCTGAACTTTGACTCCATTTGAAGCCATGTGCTCACAAATGAAGTGGTGCCATATGTCTATATGCTTTGATCATGCATATAATATAGGATTCTCAGCAAACTTGATTGCTGATTGATTGTTGATAAAAGTAGTCATCACTTCATAAGGTGGCAATTCTAATTCAGTTAAGAGTGCTTGTAGCCAAATTACTTTCTGGATTGTATGTGCAAGGGCCATATATTCTGCTTCCATAGTGGATAAGGCTATAGTGGGCTGTTTCTTTGAGCTTCAAGTAACAGCTCTCCCTGCATAGGTACAGACATAACCAGATGTTGATCTTCTATCTGTTCTGTCTTCTCTCCAGTCTGAGTCTGGATAAGGTATCAGCTCATTCATAGTCCCTCTATATGTGATTCCAAAGTCTAGAGTTCTCTTCAGATAGCAAAAAACTCACTTTAAGGCTGTGACATACTCAGCAGCCAGATTCTGCATGTATTTGCTTAATTTAGTGACAGCATGTGCAATGTTGGGCTGGGATCCATTGGCTGCATACATTAGTGATCCAACACCAGTATGTTAATATTGCCTGGTGGCTGTGTCAACACCTTATGGGTTTTCTGTCAGAATTTTCTCTAGCTGTATATTTGGGTCCATAGGCATTTTGACTGGTTTACAGTCATTCATGCCCATTTGCTTAAGTACTTTGAGAATATATGCCTTCTAAGATAGAGTGATAGTGCTCTTATCTCAATTCCTGTCTATTTTCATGCCCAATATATATTGAATCTCCCCTATGTCTGTGACATTTAGCTTCTTCTTAAGCTTTTCTTTTATTTTAGACATGGTTTCATCATCTGAAGCAAGCAATGTCATGTCATTGACATGTACAGCTATGATTATGGGACTAGAACTGATTTGTCTGATGTACACATATTGATCACTGATCAATCTGATGTATCCAAGTCTCAAAAATGTAGCATTTAATTTGTTGTTTCAAACTCAGCCAGATTGCTTGAGTCCATACAATGTTAATTTGAGGTGTGCTGCTTTTCCACTCTCATCTGAATATTCAGGGGGCTGTGCCATGTAGATGGATTCATTGAGTTTACTATTTAAGTAAGCTCCAACAATGTCCATTCCATGAATGATTAGGTTTCTTTGAGTGGAAATTGCCATAAGTAGGCAGAATATGTCCAGCCTGACAATGGGTGTATATGTCTCAAAGAAATCAATGCTGGATACCTGTGAAAATCCTTTTGCAATAAGTCTGGTCTTGTATCTGGTGATTTTCCCATCACTATCTCTTTTCAATCTGTAAGTCCACTTGCAATCCACAAGTGATCTGTCTTTGGGTAATTCTTCCAGCTGCCATGTGTCTAGAGAAGTCAATAGATTGTATTCTTCATCCATTGCTTTCTTTTAATAATGCCAGTCTGGCCTTGTCTTGGCTTCTTCAAGGCTTAATGGCTCACCACTGAGATTGTCTGCAGTTTCCTCAATGCATGTATAGTCTATTGCAACATTTATGGCTTTCAAAGATGATTCTTCTGAGGTATGCTGTTGTTCTGATGTTTTCACAGCTCATGCACTTGGATTATGAAGTGTTCAGTAACTCAGTTGAGTCTTTGATGCAATCCAGGCTGATTTGTTGTGTGGCTTGATCACTTTTTCATGCTATATTGAGAACTTTGACTTGATTCATGACACATCAGAGGCTGTTTCCTCTTTTGGTTCAGCATTTCTAACATCCATGAAATCATCTGAAATACCATCATTTCCATCCAGAGTCTGCTTGACTTTGCTCTCTGACTCTCTCTCAAGCAACAAAGGATGGAAGACTATATAGTCAATGTCTATAGGCTCTGTAATGTTGCTTTCAGAGAATATAATGTTTCTTGAGGTCTGAATCTGCCTGGTTTGAGGGTTGTAATATCTCCAGGTCCTAGATTCATCTGTAAGACCTGTAAAAATAAATTCCCTTGACTTTGGGTCTAGTTTTGATCTCTTGTTGTCTTGCTGCAACACTCAGCACTTTATTCCAAATTTCTGGAGTGTTAAAATATCTGGTTTCATGCTCTGAAACACTTTTTCTGAGGTTAGATCATTTTTGATAGCTCTGGTTGGTGATCAGTTCTTCAGGTATGTGGCATATGCCACTGCCTCAGGCTATAGAAACTTTGGTAAGTGATGTTCTTCTAGCATGATGCATGCATGCTTCACAAGGGTCTGATTTATTCTCTCAGCAACTCTATTTTGAGATGGAGAGTATGCTGCAGTCAATTTCAACTGTCTGTAAAGGTATTCTTTTATCTCTTCATTGACATATTCCTTTCCATTGTCAATTCTCATAAACTTCAGATTCTTCTCTTTGTGGACTTTGATATATTTTTAATACTGCTGGATTTTCTTTTGAATTTCTGTACCTTGCTTTGACTTCAAAAAATACAACATTGTCCTTCAGGATTTTCCATCTGTGAAGTTTATATAATATCTTTCACCATGAATACTCTGAGTTTGGGCTGGCCCTCATAGATCTGAAAATGTCATTTCCCCTATTTCAGTATAGTCCCTTTCAGCTTTCTGTGGAAATAGCTTGGTATGATGTTTGGCTTCTATGCAAGCTATACAATCTGTCTGAGGCTTGGCTGACTCATTTATATCCATCTCCTTGATCATTTTCTTCTTAAATAGTCTCTTTACTGATTCCATGTTTAAGTGGCCTAATGTTTTGTGCCACTTTTGCCATGATCAGACTGATTTCATAGCATGGGCCTGGATTATTTCTGGAACAATGATGTCAAGGCTATACAGCTTTGATATTTTATCTCCATAGCTGATTATCTTGCCATGTGGTGAGATAATATCTATTCTGGACTCTTTGAATCTGAGTTCAAATCTAGCATCTGTAATGTGCCCTATCAACATAAGATTGAATGATGCATCAGGACAGTGGATACACTCCTTTAGTGTGACTGGAGTGATCTTTTCTCCTTCAACCATTTTAATCTTGACAGTTTCCCTTTCTAAGCCTTTGGATTTGCCTACATCAATGACTTCATATCCTAGAGTTTCAACATAGTCAGAAAAACATAATCTATTTTTGACTATATATCTGGTAGTGCCAGAGTCCCCTAGCCATGATACTCCTGAGAGTGAGGTAAGTGTGATGTCTGTTGCACAAAATATGTAGTCTTCTTCTTCTTCTTCTGATTTGGCAATATGTGTCTGAGTCTGGCCCCTTTCCTTTCCTTTCTATGACTTTTCAGAATTCTTCTTTCCATTTAGGCAATTTGTCCTGATGTGATTGGTTTCTCCACATCTATAACATGTGACTTTTGGATTGGACTTCTTGCTTTGTGCTGCAAGTGTCATGGTCTGATCAGAAGTCTTTTTCTTTAATTGGATGTCTTTCTGAAGAATTTGGGAAATCAACTTGTAAGAATCTTTCAAGTCAGCAGTATCCACTGATGAGAT